TTTTTGCAGGGTTGTGGTTGAGTGAACTTTGGATTTTTATTAGACACAGACAGCTTTCATACTGTAACAGTAATGTTTGCTGCTAAACAATACAGAGAAAATATCCACTCTCAATCATTTTCAGTTTTTGACTTTCACTTTTTGACTTCCGAAGATTTTATTTTTTTAAAGTCGACATAAAATGCCATGTTAAAACCTGAGTCACATTTTTATGGCATCTTGTTAGCCTTTCATCCGTTCCTCTGTAGCTCTGCTGTTGATCTGATCAGAAGGACATTTTTTTTTCTGCTTTTTCTTTTGTCATTTTATTCAGCTGAGCACAGTTAGACTGATGAGGAGGTTCGCTGTCTGCTTACATAACTTCCTGCTCTGCTGCATACCTGTGCCTGCCACAGCTTGCCTGATCATGAACATTCCTGTGTGATAAGAATGTTAGAATGATGTGTGTTCCTCCTGTTGCTAATCTCACAGATACACAGGACACGGTCATTTATTTTGTTTTGTTTTGCAGATGGCGAACTAAGCAGAATTTGGACTACAGCTTCCTCATGCTGTACGCGCAGGACAAAGGAACATACTATGTTCAGGTGATTTTAGATTTCTACCATGAACCAACTTGAGATTTCATGTATGAGACATTTTGAACATCATGACTGGAGTTATGTCACCTGTGAGTGGTGTCAGAAAAGCTGTGGACTCACCAGCTGCGTTTCTATTACAAATGTGCACAAAACTTTGTCGTTAATCTGCAAATGTTGGAAAAAACGCAATTTTGCAATTGCTGTGTTTACATTAAATAGGAAATACAGTTTAAATTACAGATGAATATGTTTGTTCATATATGTTTTCATATGATATGTTTTCTAAATGTCACACTTTACAGTTTGTTCAAAATTTGTACAAAAAATTTAGATTTGCCTCATACAGTCATATTCAATGAATTTGAATGAGTTCAGATGAGGCCTGATTGTCAAATTTAAAGTATTTCTTGAAAATAACAACCGTGAAGTAGGTTTCTAATTAAGCCCACATTTCTGTATTAAATATGTTTTTTTTATTGGTCTGACTTAATAGTCTGTTGCCATATCCACCTCCTCACAATTCTCACAGACTGACTGCTGGCCAGCTCTCCATCTAACAGGTCCGGAAAACCTCTAATTCCTTAGTATTACTCCAGCTGAGTATGTAGAGGACAATCTGTTTAAGCTGGTGTCGAGAGAGATGCGTCTAGACTCTGACTACCTCCGATCCAGAAGCTATGACCTTTTTCAGTTAATGAAACAGTCAACTGAGTAGCCCTACAGCTGCTTAGTTCCAGAAACTGCTTCTGTTAACGGTAGCTCTCTCTCTATCAATAATGTGCACTTGTTGTGGTCTAGATAAATTTTAGAGACTCAGCATGAGTCACAAGGTCATTATTTTATAAACACCAAAGAAATGTCCGAAGCTCCCTAATTACTAGAATCATGACCATTGGTTTTACCTTGATCAGAAGAAAGAACTCATGAAATGACTCAATTAATTTAACTGTCCACAACTCTAATTAGATATTTTAATACATTTTTATTAGCAGGCTTTAGCAGGGGAAAATTTACAAACAGCTTCTACAATCAACAAAATAAGAATTTAATATAAGAAATTAAAATCACACCTAACTTTCCTATCTCTAATCCCTATACTGTGTCATTAGTAGGCCTGTCACGATAAGAAATTTTGCTGAGCGATTAATTGTCTAAAAAATTATTGCGATAAACGATAATATTGTTTCAAGACCTTTTGACACTGATTTAATGGAAATGACTAATAATGCATGCAATTTACTGCCATAGATAGATGCACTTTATTTTCTAAAGAACACATAACACTGGAACTAATAAACTAAATAAACAAAACAACCAAAAACAAAAATAAAATGGATTCTCAGTCTCCATTAGCAAAAAACGTACTTGAATAAAAACTAAACAACATAAAGCCAAAGTGGAAATAAATACTGCATTCAACCAAAAGAGTGCAGATTATGAAGTCTGTATACTATATTGCCCTTCAGTAATCACTAGATTTAAATAGAGAAGATGGGCACATCCGACTACCTAATGCAATAGTTCACACTACACGATTTTTTTGCCCCTATTTTACGACAATCTTAGATCGTTGGTCGATTTAAGATTGTCGCTGGTGATTTCGTAACCAATCATCCTGCAGTGTGTGGTGTGTTACGGTAGATAGTCTTGGCCGCTCCGATCTAAATCAGGGACTTTCTCCGACTGGGAGCTTATCGCAGCCTGTTGAATGTGACAGGTAGCCAATCAGAAATTGTGGATTCCCCTCGCGCTTTCTGAGAGGAAATTACAGAGGGAAATCCCAAACAGCTGACACGGCGCCATTATTTTGTGCACACGGCACGACGAACCCGATTGAACCGTTATGCCTAGTATTTCTGTCGGCTAATGTGTGGTCTCAGGTTTTGAAAATGGGCCGACAGTCGGCCGACAACTCGTGTAGCGTGCGCTAGACATTACACTAAGGAAATGAGGAAGGGAGGGTCCGTGGAGAGCACCGGAGTTGAACCTTTTTTCATTCAGTGTCAGCAACAGAAAGAGTAAAGGCAGGAAGAGACTATAAAGCCGATAATTCAAATGAGGTCGATAGGTTTAATTTATCATTTATCGTGACAGGCCTAGTCATTAGATTAAATGAGTGAGGCTTTGGGATGCAGTTCCACTCATACCCAGATGTCGAAATGATATTGGCAGCAGAAGGCTTTAGAATCCTTGGTCAGAGTTCTGTCTTGGTGCATCAAAATTCTTTTCAGAATAGAAACAAAGTTGTACTGGTGGTTGATTCTAAATTTCATGTTTCTATTAACTTTAAGTGTAAATCATCATGATTAATAGAAATAAAGGCTTCCATCTGCGCATAATCTATGTAATTTCACTTGGTGTTAAAGTTCCTGAAATAATTGGACTTTTTCATAATATTCTAATTTATACAGTTCCACTCATACCCAGATGTCGAAATGATATTGGCAGCAGAACCAATATAGATTTAATATTCAACTATGTTTATTCCTTAGATTGTTAGAAAGAAACAATGTTTCAGTTAAAGTACATCACACAAAGCAGAGCTTTGAAACATTTGACAAAAGCATGAAAAAAAAAAAACAGGAAAAAAAACGTTAATAGTTTCTGGCTTATGCCGATCAATATTTGAAATTAGGGTGTGTGTTGATGTCACAACCTGGCTCTGGGGTTATGACAAAAGAAATGATGCAAAATAATGCTTTGCAAATATTTACTCTGGGAAAAAATGGCCAAAGCAAACCAGAAGGCAAACAAATGTGACCCTGAGTGACTAACATTAAGCAGCTTAAACAATTAATTACCTGACAGGTCCATCACACTGACCTCTGACCCCAGACCGATGAATTGTGATCTTGTTGAAGAGGTGACAGTCAAGATTTTCTTAAAGCTACAGGACTTTTAGAATTCCAAATGTGGCGTGATGTTTCCCTCAGCATTTCTTCAACTCATGAGTTAATGCTACACTGTGTTCTATTCCAGCACTAATTTCATTTCTCTACAAAATGTTGTGGAAGTAAGTCTCTAACTATTCTTGTGTGTTTTCTAGTTGGAAGACGATGTTTTTGCAAAGAACGGTTACTATAGCGACATGAAGGCATTCGCCACACAGGCGTCTTCTAACGAATGGCTCTACCTGGAATTCTCCCAGCTTGGGTTTATAGGTGTGTTTGTCTTTCCACACGGCATCGCAGAGAGATACTTACTCAGATGCTTGGTTCTAGCATATTCTGTTTTGTTTTTTTTGGTGTGGGGGGGGTTTCCAGGTAAGATGTTTAAGACCAGAGACCTTCCAATGATAGCCGAGTTCTTCTTCATGTTCCACAAAGACAAGCCTATCGACTGGTTGCTGGATCACATTCTGTGGGTGAAGGTTTGCAACCCAGAGAAAGATAATGTAAGTCTGCTGACCCCAACCAGATCCCAACAGCTTTAATACTTTAGTCATACTCTGTTTATTTTCTCTTTGTTAAAACATTAATGTTGAAGAAAAATATTCCACATCATTGACAACGTGTCCAATCCACAAGGGCAGATCTATTCAGTCTAATTCTATGCTTTGTGCTCCAAGTGATGTCATGCTCTATTATTTATTTTACGTTATATCTATAATTCCTAATTTCACTTTCTGAACCATTTGGTTTGTTGTAGTTTATTTTTGCATGTTTGACCAAACCTATTGTTTAGTCAGTTTCAGTTTCTTTATTATTTACATTAATATTAGCTGTTTATGCTCCTACCTGCACTGACTGAACAAGTTAAAGTTGTTTCTACACGTTTGACCATGCTTGTGAAGCTGTTGATG